TGGAGTTTACCATGAGACCTAGTCAGATCAATAATTAATATTATATTTCAGGGTCACCCAGGTATATGTGACTCCAATTTCCTGAGGCTCTGTCAAAGTTTCTCTGTATGCTCTTCCTTTTAGCTGTTTGTAAAAGTTCCGGAAGTCTGTGTTGATTTAGTGTGTGTTCAATGTGTGACTAAGAGTTAAAAGTGGAAAGTTCGAACTCAGGGAGGACAGGGAGTGGGATGGGGCTTCAGAGGGATGGGCAGCATGTGGTTCTCAGACTATGTGGGCAGACACAGGGAGAAGGGAGACCCTTCTCAGACCTGGAAGGTGTGGGATAGGAAGCAGATGGAAACTTCCTGAACAACAAAAGGGGCAATTGAGTGAGAGGGAGCAAGTGTGGGGCTCATCATGAAGAGCTGCCTCTGGTTCCACTGTGGCCTGTGTTGAGGGTTCTCAATCCCCAGATACTCTCCCATTTGTGGATGGCACAGTACCTGAAACTCCTTTGGATTATGTCTTCTCTCCAGTGTCTTCTACTAACATACAGATATGCTTGAGTGAGCGACACACGCAGTGGTGAACATTTTTTATAGATCATAAACATGCTTTTAGATTCAGTTATTCTCCACGAAAGAGAGGGACTCTAGAAACAGAATAACTCTAGATCTGAGAGGAATTGTGGGTAAGGAGGTTATTAGTGCCCAGGAATCATCTTACAAGTTTTCTGGTCTGTCCTCTTCCTCTTAGCAACCTCTCTGATCCCTTCAGGTTACTGGTGTGTTTGCTGTACGTGTTTCTCTGACTTCCTCTCTCCGTATGCACCCCACACACCAACAAACACATTCACAAACAGCGGCTTTCTTGGGAGGCTCAGACTCAGTATGGCCAGGCAACTTGCATCGTTCTCTTCACATACTATGGACACGTCTCTAGATTAATATATATAGTGTAACTCATTTTAATTAAGTGTAGGATAGTATAAAGAATGGAAGTGTAATTTCTTGAGTTGATCTCCTGTTAATGCAGGTTCAAGCTATTTTTTTCAAGCATTCTTTCAAATGATGGTGTCCCCAATCTTTTTCCAGAATGTAGAAGGTATTACATAGTAGGTCCCTCTACTATTAGAACATTAAAGATTCTGATCTTGTTTTAAAAAATCTCTGAGCTTTATAATAGCCTCCTACAATTGGAGGTTCTAATAGCACTCCAGTGGGAACAAGAAGCTAATGATTGGAGGATCTAGGGCAATGCCTGTTTATATTTTTATATTTAATTATTTTATATTTTATTTATATAAATATTCAAATTTATATAAATATTTTTATAGAAATGAATTCATAAAAAATTATTTATAAATTATATGTATATAAATATAAAACTTATAAATTTATATATTTATATTTATATTTACATTTATGAAAATATATAAATTTATAAAATGTTATTTATATAAATATTTTATATTTCTATTTTATATTTAATTATATTAAAAATATTTCCATTTTAAAAGCTCTTTTAAAAATAGCTTTATTCAGTGGCACCTGGGTGCTCAGAGGGTGAACCGTCCTGCTCCTGATTTCAGCTCAGGTCATGATCTCAGGGCGCTAGGATCAAGCTCGGCTTCAAGCTGCATGCTGCGCATAGAGCCTGCTTAAGATTCTTCCTCTATCCCTCCTCCTGTTCACACCTGGACACAGATACACACACTCTCTCTCTCTCTCTCTCTCTCTCTCAAAACATAAAATAAGTAAAGTAGCTTGGTTGAATGACATGTAATAAATTGGACATATTTAGACACACAACTTGGTAATATGGAAATCACCAGCATAATCAAGATATTGAATACATTCATTATCCTCAAATCTTCCCGGGCGCCTGTGTCACTGGTCCTCGTAGCTCCTCCCGCTCTCTCTGCCCCTCCCACCAGCAATTACTGATTGGCTTGCTGTCACCATAGTCTACATTTCCTATAGTTCTACCACAACAGGATCGTACAGTAGGTACTCCTTTTTATGTGGCTTCTTTGACACAGCACAATTAGTGTGAGATGCTTCCACGTGGCTGCACATATCAGTGGTTTATCCTTCTTCATTGATGAGTGGCCTCTCATGGCATGGGTATGCCACGATTTGTTCACCCATCCCCTTGGTGATACATATTTGGGGTGTTTCCAGTTTGGGGATCTCTACAAATAAAGCTTTAATGAACACTCACGTAACAGTCCTCGTGCGGACAGAGGCTTTTATTTCTCTCACAAATACAGAGAAGTGGAACGGCTGGATCGCATGGTAGGACTAAGCCTCACTTTTTAAGAAATGGTTCTTTGTTTCCAAAGTGGTTGTCTGTCTCAAAAATATTCATCATCTCCTACAGAGTCATGGTCTGAGGATCCCTGAAATAATGTGGTTCTCAAAATTGAGATAGATCATAATTCTATCAGTTGAGAAGTAGTTATTGATTGCCCGGTGTTTCTAGGCATTGTGCATGATAATGGCGAGTGACCAGCATGGGTGAAGGGTCGTCCCTCCCTGGTCCAGACTAGAACATACCTGGCCACTAGAAGAAGAGGTAGAAAGTCAGACTTCCAGAAGTGCTAACGGCTGGGATAACACAGAGAAAACTGAGATTCTGAGGATGGGAAAGAGACTCTTCAGGGGCAATAATTCAGAAAGACTTGCAAGGTTATAGGTTAAGAAAGTGAGAGTGAAGAGGGCATATTTGAGGAGTCCGGACTTCAGCTTATTTCATTTATTCATGACACACACACATATTTTATCTTATTTTTATTTTTTAAAGATTTTATTTATTTATTTGACAGTGGGAGAGAGCGAGAGAGGGAACACAAGCAGGGGAAACAGGAGACAGAGCAGCAGGCTTCCCGCTGAGCAAGGAGTCCAGGACCTCGTGATCATGACCGGAGCCGAAGGCAGACACTTAAAGACAGAGCCACCCAGGCGCTCCACATATATATTTTTTAATACATGCTATGTCCTTCAGATATATAAGTGAACAAAATCAAGATCCCTGCCTTCATGGAGTTTACATTCCGCTGGGAGAAACACAGTAAACTATAAACCTAGTAAGTAAACGGTCTATTAAACAACGGTAGGTACTATGGAAAAACATAAGGGGAAATGTGATTAGAAGTGGGGCAGCCAGTTCTAACTTCAAGTGGGAGATAGTGGGGTATGTTTAGAATCTAAATATAATAGTAGTATATCTATATATGTTATACAAATTCTAAAATATTCCAACATAATTAGAATCTGGTCCACAAACCACTCTGAAACCATACGTTCTTGGGCTGCTGCACTGACACTTTGCAGCCACTAGGGCGCAAATGAGCCGTTTCTGAGAAAATTAGGATGAGGGTGGGGGTGTGAGAGAGACGTCGGTAATTAGGTACACACCCTCCCCCAGGTGTTCCGCAGGGGCAGTTCCGTGAAGGGTACTGGCAAGACAGGCGGGAGAGTATTACTGTGTGTCCTGGACCAAGACAATTTTGCTCTTGGCTTCCCTTCCTTAGCCCGTCCTCACCCAGCAGGGGTGGGGGCCGAGCTGAGAAATGAACTTCAGCCCGGCGGTTCACAGGATGCCTGTCACAGCTGAGTGATGGTGGAAAAAGGCAGACTTGTGGGCCTTGTCTTCCCGCCCTGCAGCGAGATTTTGGGGGCGCTGCGCGAGGATTCCCGTGGTTACACTCAGCGCCCCGGGTCTGTACAAAAGCTCCCCACCCCAAGCCAAAATGCCTTCCGTTCCCTTGTAATACTTAATGCATAACCAATATGTAAGCATTCACCTTGACGTTCGGGTTTGCGGCTCCTTCCCACCCTCAGCCTCTGCGAGAAGATCGGTGACCATTCCTATCTTTTGGGCGAGAGCCCATCCTGCGGCTCTTTCTGGACCCGAGCGCTGCCCGCCTTTTCTCCAGGGCGGGAGCTCTGCCAGGCAGGGAGAGCGGCGTGCGGGCGCGCACGCGGGGGGCGCCGCTGGTTGCGCATCTGGCGCCAGAGCGCGCCCCCCGCGCAGTGCCCGCCACGGCCACGGCGGAGGGTTGAGGCTCCGGAGCGTGCGGGGCGCTCTTTCCCCGCGCGGGGGCACCAGAGCCCTCGGAAGTGTCAGGCACTGCGGTGCATTTTCCCAGTTCCCTTTTAAATGACTGCGGAAAAACAGACTCTCCGAGCCGCAAATGGGGAAGACGGATTCTCAGACAAGGCTTGCGAATGCCCCGCAGCCATCGTTTAACTGCGCCCGCAGAGCAGTTACGGTTTGTCACCCGACCCTTCCGGATTGCCTCGTTTGTCCCTAGTGAGACCCCGAGGCTCTGTCCGCGCCCGGCTTGTCGGTAGCTGGATGCATGTCGTGCTCTGGGCAGCGCGGGCGCAGGGCACGCGTTCGCGCACACCCGCGCACACACGAAATCGCGCAAGGTACGGCAGGGGAGCAAGGGCTTGGGGTGCCCCGCGGGGGCGGGGGTGGGCATCGCGGGGAGTGAAGCGACAATCTGGGAACGGCTGAATCCTGCCAGATTGAAGGATGAGAGAAAATGACGCGGCGCCACACATCGGACAGGCCAGGGTTGCTGCCGCGCATTTAGGGAACCCAATACGCGTCAGGCGCGCTCCCTTCCCCTCACATGTCTCTATTTCCCCGGCGTGTGATGCCGGAACACGGCAGGAAAAAGACCCACTTAGAGAGCTAGAGTTGCATTTGGAGACTCCCCTCCCTCTGCAAAAGCACCAACAGGAAGACCCTCCAAAACCACGGATCCCCAAATAGATGGCCCGGAATGGGGGCGGCTATCCCTGGTTACCAATGCTGAACACGTTTTGGTGTTTACAATATTTATTTATTTTTAGGCTGGCTCGCCCTCCCTTTTAGGCAGGATGGGAAAGGAGAACGCATTGGGGAGGGAGAGGGGAGGGAGGATTCCTATAATAAGAATCAGCGCATTTTTCAGAGCTGAACCGAGCCCGGTTTCCATTTCAAAAAAGGAGACAGCCTCTACTGCGATGGTAGAAGAGACCGCGGTGTGAATTAGGGACTGAGAGGCGTCGAGCCGTGGAACGGTCCATCTCGGAGGTACCTGGATCTCAATGCACACACACACACACACACACACACACACAGGCGCGCGCGTCTACCCAGCCAGGATGTGTGCGTGTGTGCGCGTGTATGAACTCCCACATGCTGCTGCTGTCTGCTCCTGGCCAGTGGCACCGATGCCTCCCTCCTCCCCGCTCGCCCCCAGATTCCCCTCCCCTCCCCGTTGCTTTTGTCTGGAGGGTGTTATGGGTTTGTGTGTGTATGAGCGTGTGTGTTTTTGGATTTCAGACTAATTTTCTGGAGTTTCTGCCCCTGCTCTGCGTCAGCCCTCACGTCACTTCGCCAGCAGTAGCAGAGGCGGCGGCGGCGGCGGCGGCGGCTCCCGGAATTGGGTTGGAGCAGGAGCCTCGCTCGCTCCTTCGCTCGCGCTCTCCGCGCTCAGTGCCCGGCGGCAGGAGGAGCCTGCACCCAGGCGCCGCCGGCGGGCGGTAGGCGCCGGAGCCCGGGTGAGCAGCACGGACAGTGCCCTCCGGCGCCTCGGCCCTCGCCGTCCCCCGCCCTCCCCCCCATTTCCCGGGGCGGCCGTGGCGGCTCCCCAGGTGGTACGCGCCGCGCCACCTGCCCGCGCCCCTTGCGCCCAGCGGCCGTGGCGGATTCTGCAGCATCATTGGGGGCCCCCGTCGCGGAGCCATCGCTGCCGCCGGCAGTCTCCGCGTCCCCCTTTAAAGGGTCCTTCGCCCGGCCTGTGCCATGGAATCCTGTCTCGGGGACCCTTATCCAGTCTCCCCTCCCTCGATCTCAGGCTTGTTGGGGGGGGGGCATCGGTGGTCCCGGCAACGTCAGTGCCATCGAGGGGCAAGTTTATTTCTGGGGCTGGAGCTGGGCACGTATTCATCCACAGTCCCCTGGCTGGGGTCGGGGTGGGGGTGCGGCGAGCGCGCTGTAAGGGGTCCTGCGCTCAGTCTCACGCCTATCTGTTTGTCCTCAGCCCCGAGGTGCGTTCCGGATCCCAGTGCGCGTCTAGCAAGGAGCCTGCGTCCCGGGGAGTGCCGGCAGCGCCGCCGGCCCGTGCTCGGCGCGCCGGGCCATGCAGCGGCGGCCGCGGCCAATCTCGCAGCGGCGGTAGCGCCCCCTGTGAGGCAGCCGGAGATGCCCCGGCCACTGTGAACGGTGCCGACCGCCAGGACACGCTCAGCGACGGACACGCTCGGCTCTGCGCTTCCGCGACAGTCACCGGGGCGAGGGAGCGGCGAGCGTGGCACAGGCCGCCCGGCAGGGGCAGGGGAGGCAGGCCGGTGCAGCGCGAGGACACGTACTCAGTCCGACTCGGGCTGGCACTGGCGGCTAGGGATGTCGTCCTGGACGAGGTGGCATGGACCCGCCATGGCGCGGCTCTGGGGCTTCTGCTGGCTGGTTGTGGGCTTCTGGAGGGCCGCTCTTGCCTGTCCCACGTCCTGCAAATGCAGCACCTCCCGAATCTGGTGCAGCGACCCTTCTCCGGGCATCGTGGCATTTCCGAGGTTGGAGCCTAACAGTGCAGACCCCGAGAACATCACGGAAATGTGAGTTCCTGGAGGTGCTCTTCCTCCTTCCTTTTCTCCTCGCCCCTTGGGCTGGGGCTGGCCCGGCATGTCTGTCCGGGACATGAATGTTGTCTCAAGTCTGGGGAGAAGTCAGACATACATGGGAGATGCAGGGCTGGGCCATCTGTCAGTTACCTGTTTATCTGGCTTGGGGCTGCTAACGCGGGGAGAAGGGGACCGTTGAAAATAAGTTTTAAGTATACCGTATGTGTCAATAACATAAATATATATGTTCTTTTCCGGGAGGGATTCCATATACACTCTATTTCAAAGCCCTGCTGGGTGTGCTTTAGGCTTTCCTTATGCAATAACTTAGTTTTGGACATTTTTCTTTCCTAAGGTGCTGAGTGTATGTTGGGTTCTAAGTTCCAGTAATATTTACTAGGAAGGAGGTTAAAATAATGAACTTTTGGAAATCTGTGGAAGGAGGTTAGAGTCGCCCCCTTAACATCATTCGCTGAGGTGTGGAGTTCACTGGTTTCCCTTTCCATTTTATAGATCAGATTTTTGTCAGGAGATGGCATCCAGAGCTGGCCTGGAAAATGGTCTGTAAGAGGAGAAGTTCTGAGTGTTGAAATGCGCTCTCTTGAAAGGGAAAATGTACTCGTCGGAAGCCTAAAAGCCTGGTCTGATTTAATTTGGACTTGACTTCCCAGAGATATAATTTTGAGACCATTTGGATTATAAATCTCAATTGGCCATTGAACACTATCCCAGGACTAGGTCGGATGATAAAGCAGTGTGTAGAATGCTGCCTTCAGCATGGGACGGACCCCTGTGTCCCTGGAAATGTCTGAGCTCTGATGCAGAAGCCGAATTGTGTATTTCTGTCCTCCTGTTCTGAGGGCTTGTGACAGATACATTACCAAGTGGGAATTCACCAGTGCCTTCCCCAGCATTCCCTGTCACCCCTCCTAGAGGTGTCTTTTCTCCCCTTAGGGACTTGGTCGCTGCCTGCATTTCACTGGCATGAGATTTTATTCATCCGTGCAGAGGATCGTAAGGCAAAGTTTCTCCCGGTTTTCCTTACAGTGTTCCGTGCTCAAATAGGCAGCCCTAAAAGTAGGGCTTGGGCTGTGGCCTTCCGGTTGGCGAGTGCGCATGCTTTTTTTCCTCCCCAGAAAACGCACACCCTGTTTCTGCCAACGTAGTTGACTGAGATAACCTGTTTTTAATGTAAGTAAGAGACCTTCCTGGCCTCTGTTGTTTGTTCTTCTGGTGATGCTCATGTTTTAAGGCTCGGGCAGAAGGAAATGGCAGCAGCACAGAGGGGAATGTGCAGGCCTAGCAGAGCTGAGATGTGCTGGAAGGAACCAACTGTCAGGCTGGATCCAGGAGGCTGGGATCTGGTTTTTTTTTTTTTTTTTTTTTTTTCTTCTTCTTTTTTGGCAAGGATCAGAGCAGGCAGAGCTGGAGAGGAAGGGTGGGTAGGGCCCCAACTGTGCTGGCCCTGGTTGGCCTGGTCAAAGTGTCTGTGGCCTTTTATCAGGATCTGTGTCTTTTTCAAGAGATGGGGAGTCTGTAGTCAGATGGAGGAAGCCATATGGAATTCAGAGCCCTTTGGACTATTTTGAGACCAGGGAGAGTGCCTTTATACAGTGAGACCTCTTGTTTTGTTGGTGGTGGTTTTGAAATTCTGTATTCGATGATGCATCTATAATGAAGGAAGATAGGAGATCGAGCCAATCATTTTCACTGTAACATTTTTTTTAACTGTAATATTTTTAAGGCCCTAATCGGGGAAAAGGAAAATAAAACTCCCTTTAAGTATAAAAAACACTGTTTTAAACCTTAGTGGTCCTAGCTGCCTGGTATTAATGAAATCAATAGATTTGAGCTGAGCTTTCTTCTATCAGCTCTCACAACTGCTATTATTTCTGTAATAGCTGATGGCAGGTTCCCACCTCCAGGCTTTAAAAAAAAAAAAAAAAAAAGGGATGCTTTTTTATTTTTACCAAAGTGTTTGTTGTCAGTGGCACTCCTCATTTCTTCTGTTATTTATTTATTTATTTTTCTTTTGGTTGGAAAACCTGCTGAGATCGAGACCATGGGGAGGTGTGTAGGGTTAGTGTTTGGGATGGGGAATTACGTTCCTTAGTGACACTGATGGGGCTGCTAGATGTGAGTTCTGGGAAAAAGTCTGTGCTCAGCTCTGCCCCTCAGCTAGGTCTGAGCCCAGCGGGTTTGTGCACTAGGGGCTTGTGAAATGTATCGAAATCCTTGTTTGGAAAGCACTTCGTATGATTATTTTGAATTCTGCTGTTTTGATATCAAAATGACATCAGTGGATGAGCTTGTTTCCCTGTCATCCATATATGACACCATCTGGCTCTTTTTCTTACATATTAATATTTGTTTGAACAGCTTTTGCATTCTTGGCCAGTGGATACCAACTACAGTTGGAACCAAATTACAGTTTTTTATTTCTTTTTTTACTTTGTTATGAGACCTAATGGTATTCCTAAAATAACCTGGTTGAAAGTTCCAGTTTAATGGTGCTTAGCTGAAACTTCCCGTTTCTCTTTTTTTCAATAGGAAAAATGGAAGTAAATAAACTATAATTAGAACTTGCTGAAGCATCAGCTTACTATACCATTTAAAAATGGTCCATCAGTTAATATCCATACACTTGGGGAAAAGTACACCACGGCGCTCTTTGCGTTCAGAGAGAGCCCATGGTAGAACATTCTAAAACTATGTGCATAGATTTATTAAGAGGGAGAGTTTTATTTTTTTGCTTCTACGTGCATATTTTAAGCCAAGCTGACATTTCATTTTTAGAGTCATCGTTTGAGCCTGTTTTATCAAAAATTCTGTCCTAGTAATCTGTCTCATACTCTTTACCCACCAACATGATCTATTTCCCTACATCTCTCTTCTCTCTGTCCACAGAGACCTGCCCAACATCACACTGCTGCTTACACCTGCTTCTGTTACTCTGAGATGGTTATACCAAAGCCATGCTAGGTTAAATCTAAAACCAGTACCATCGTCCCATGTAAGTGGGATTCAAGAATCAAGCCTGTTGTTGGAGTTATGTAACTGGCTATTGGATCTCTGTTATATCAGGTGCCAAAATGTACTGCAAAGGACAAGTTCTGTCTCAGTCAAGTGCTAAAAGACATGGCTAAGATACAGCATGCATTTTTTTTTAATTGAGGTCAAAAACACCTAATATAAAGTGTACCATCTTAACCATCTTTCCGTGTATCATTAAGTAGCAGGAAGTGTTAAGTTTATTTATATGGTGGTGAAAGGGGGCATTTGTTTTTACATTGCTCCTATTTTATAGAGTTCAGTGATGGCCTTTTTCCTCTGAATTTTTGGGGGGTAGTTTCTGATTTCGGGGTCATATTTGGAGACAAGTATAATATTTTTCCTTTTAGTACAACATAAATAGCTTTTACTGCCAGAGCCTCTGTGTGCAATAAATTGTTGGCTTGGTTAAGCGACTGTAATGTGATGTCATTAATACATTGATTTTGGCCCCCTCACCTTAGTAAGCTTTTCCACTGCAATTAATTGTACTAGAAACAAATATCTTGGCATTCGGAAGGATTCGGTGAGAGGCACCCATTTTTATTACTCTGATGTTTACCTCTCAGCCCCTCCACTGGGGGTTCTAGAACTGTGGATTGTGCTTTCCATGCATTTAAGATGCACAGAGTAAGTTTTGAGTGTGGTTGCATAAGCCACACCAGACTTGTTAATAAATAAGGCAGTTGAATTTACATCATTAACACAACTTGCAAGTTGGAGTTGAAAACATGCAATCTTCCCGGTTGGAGGTATTTACAGAATTCAGCTCAGTACAACCATTTGAAGCCTCCTTGGTTTTAGCCCTTCGATCTCTGCATTAAGGAGGTTTTCATTACATTGGGCAAAACAATTAAAAAGGCCCTCGACCCTTCTGACCCTACTTTCTCCCCCTCCCCCTTCCCATCACCTCTCATTGACTATACAGGAAAATGTGTTTGATTTTTTTTTTTTTTTCTCTGAAAAGTGATATTTCCTTATGGGAATTCAGAGCACTAGAATTAGGGGTAGGGCCTGGGTTATGTGTTATTACAAGCAAGTAATGGGAAGTTGAGATAATGTGGTCACAGTTCCCCAGAGCTGAGTCTAGTTCTGTTTAAAATCTTTCACTGTTTCTATCCCATAAACCTCTGTTTGTGTCTGTTTCAGTATTCCCTTGTAAAGACATTTTTCTAAGCTGAGAAGTTGGCTGGACAGCTAAGAATTGAGGTCTCTTTCTCCCCAGGAACATTCTGTATGATCTCTTTGACTATATCTGGGTCGTCAGAGTATAAAACCTAGAGTTCTTGTTGAGCTGGGGAAGGGGAATTCCTTTCTTTTCTCTTTTCCTTTTTTTTTTTTTTGTTTTGTTTTGTTTTGTTTTTTGTTTTCCTGTTTCTGTTTTTGTTTTTGTTTGGCCTTTGGTACTAAGCAAGTGCCCTCAGTGTTAACTCATTGCTCTTCTTGGCTATTAGGGAAAAAAACACGATTAAACCGGTACTGAATACCATGCACTGACATTAGCCCTCAGACTAGCTTACTACGTCTCTAGAGAGCTCTTGTAGCTTCCAAAGCCATAGGGTAGAATGTGGCCTTGAACCTGCTGGCCTTGGTGCAATGCCAAGTTCTAGTGCCTCTTGGTGTTTATAGATCAACTGGATGATTTGGGGGAGACATTATTTTGACAGGCACTTTTTTTTTTTTTTTTCATTTGGTGTGTGTGAGAGAGAAAGGGAGAAGGGAACCCGTGAACCGTGGGTTAATAGCTGATTGACCATTTTCATAATCTACTTGGTCTAGTTAGTTTAACTCGCTAATCCCACCCCCCAGGTGGCAGAGGTCTGAGCCCTGCAGCGGCCCGATCATTTTCACTCCACTTTTGATTGCTGATCGATCTCCATTAGAGAAGGCAAAGAGCTCACATAATCAGGGTGCCTTCTTACCACTTTGGTCTCTGGGCTGTC